TATATATATATATATATTCAGAAGGGAGAAGGACAGTGAGTGAAGCAAGCCCCAGGAGGTGAGGGGGCCTTCTCATACTGCCAGTCACCATTGCAGCCACATCACGTCTCTAGAGGCTGGGCCTCTGTCCTTCCCCACAGGGAGGTAGCCACTGGTGTTGGGCTGACCTGAGCTGAGTTGGGCTGCCCTTGGTGTGAGGGCCTGAGCCAGGCCACTCCGACCTCTCAGCCTCACCTTTTCATCTTTAAAGAGGGAATGAGAGTGGAAAGGCAAAGCACAGAGAAGGAAGCGCACTGGCAGAGCTGCCTGGTTGAGTTGTCAGGTGGACTCCTGCGTCCTGACCCATGATACCAAGTCTGTACTCAGTTCATGGGAGCCCTGGCCTCTCCTCATCCTGTGTCCCCACCCTTTGCCTGTCTCCCTGCCAAGAGACAAAGGACAAAGCCTTGTAAATGACAGCTGGGGAGCCTGGGCCTGCATGACCACTGGGGCTGGATAGGTAGCCCCCGCCTCCTCCCTTGTACGGTCTATGCCTGCATGGCTGGAGCTCTCAGCAGAAAGCCCGGGGGAGGACTCTGAGCGGACTGTGCCTCACTTCCCCTCCCTCCTGCCTAACCACCCTTGCTTCCTCTACATGCACCATTAGCATCTTGCGGGGACAGGAAGCGGACTATGGCTTCTGCTCACATATCCCCTCAATAAAACCAACTTTGTAAGCACCAGGTGTCCCCCTCAGGGTCTGTCTTTTCCAGGACACTCTTCCATGCCCTGAGCCAGGAAAAACATTCTTCCTGCTCTGAGCTCCTCTTGCCCAAGTCCTGGCTTGCATGGGGCCATCACTAGTGCTGGATCTTCTCCCATCCCTGATTCCGGGGCGAGTAGGAGTCCCACCTGCCTCTTTCTTCTCGTGCACCCCATGTGCAGCGTAGTTCCTGGCACACCGCAGGCAATCCAGGCACATTTATTGAATATGTAAATATATTTTGCATCAGCAAACACCCATAACATAAAGTTGA